CGTTTTTGGCGGAAAAATTACGAATTTATATTTTTGGCGGGAAAAGTGTGTATTCACATATTTGGCGGGAAAATTTAGGATTATATTCCATTGGTTCAAAACTTTTGGTTAGACTTAAATTGAAATCTGTTTAGAGATTTGAAATTGGTTTGATTCAATTTAACAAAAATTGATAGGTTAAATAGGTAAACCATTGAAACTATTGACCCATTACAAGCCAACTCATTTCATCCATCAACCCATTTGACTCAATAACTCATTTGATCTATCAACTCATTTGAGTCAAAAATTTCAACTCATTAGGGTTCATGGGTTGAGTTGATTTGAGTTGACCCATGAATCTTGATCTATTTTGACACCCCTAGAAACATTATTAAAATTTACTTGTACTGATCGCAAAATCAAACAAACTTGTTTTGAAGCACAAATAAGTCACCTAAAGAGGGTATATTTAGATGTAGTGAACATTTCACCAAAAAAAAAGAACACACTTTGTTTGGTATGATCTAAAATGTAAAGCAACTTTAAAAATATTCGGTTGCACTGGATTTTGTTTAGGTATATACAGTATTTAGAAAAAATATATTAGGAAGAACTATATTAGGTATGTAGATATATTTCTTTTTGGGAGTTAATGAAGATATGTATATTTAAGAAAATTTCTTATATTGTATTTTTTAACAAAAAGGAAAAAACCTTCCTTATATTTCTGTTAAGAGTAAGATAAGAATCAAGTAAGCTGAAATCAACTTTGTTTGATTGATATGCAAATTAGGAATTGATACTTTATCTGATTGGTCAGAAAATTTTTATTTTCCTCAGTTTATTAGTCATATAAAATTGAAATCAACTTTGAATTTTTTTGGTTGTTTAGGTATATATTTAGAAGAAATATATTAGGAAGAACTCTATTAGTTACATCATATATTCCGTTTTGGAAATTAATGTGAAAATATTCATAAAATTCCTTATATTATATTAAAAAAAAAACTTCTTTATATTTTATGTTCAAACTAAGGTGATGATTGGTTGGACTGTAGGCACTACTTACAACCTTTTTTTTTTCCTACAGCCCAAAAATCAACCAATCAAACTTTATCATGATTTCTAAAGCTACAATATATTTTTTTTTTTTAACTATAGGAGCTATTTTTCTACAGCCTTTAATTTAGAGTTTTAGAAAAACAAATACAAGATCTTTTGTTTTTACATTTTTCTCTCTTACATTTTTAGCATACATACACACACACATATATATATATATATATATATATATATAAAGGCATAACTTATTTTACTTACTTTATTGTGTCACATTTATTATATATGCAATATTTTATACATATACAACTCATATTAATTTAATTTCCAATAATATTACTAATAAAATATAAAAATTATGTCCATTTAAATATAATTATTGAAGTTTATTATTTACGCTATATAAATAGAGAGAAAATTTATACTAATCGTTTTTTATTTCTCTGTACTAGTAAAATAATTTTATTTACCATGAAAACACATAACCTTTTCATTCACACAAAAGTAATTAATATATATTTTTTATATAAATTATATTACTATCCATTATATATATATATAGCCAAAAAATTACATCTATAGTTATAGCCAACAAAATTACAGCCACAATTCTACATGTACAACCAACATAGATAAAAGAAAAATCTTACAGCAATCAATCTACATCTACAGCTACATCTCAATAAATCACCCAATAAGAAATATAAGAATCAAGTTAACCGAAATTAGGAATTAATACTGATTGGGTAGAAAAGATTTCTTATCCTCACTCTATTGGAGTTTATAAAGATATTTTTCAGCTATTTATTTTTAAATCATATTTTTATCCGTGCAACATTTTAAGTTTATTTTACTTTAGGAAAAGTTAAGACAATTATCACATTTTTCTCTATCTTTCCAAATCTACCACATTCTCCACCTCATTTCTACATCTACCACATTTTCATTTCAAAATACTATTTTACCCTTGTTTTTTCTTCTCACATTCTCTTTCTCTTTGTCTCTCTTGATTACTGTCTTCATCATCTTCATCATTCAATCTGAACTTGTCCACGACCTAATTCTATTACGCATTCGGTCTGGACTTGTCATCGATGTAATTCTATTACTTATTTGATATGAACTTATTCCCGATCGAATTCTATTACTCATCCGATATGAACTTGTTCCCGATCTAATTATATTACTCATTCGATATGAACTTGTCCTCGATCTTATTTCTATTACGCATTTGGTCTGAATTTGTCTCCAATCTGATTCTATTACTCATTTCTTAATTTGTCCCTGATCTAATTCTATTATTCATTCGATCTGAACTTGCCCCTGATCTAATTCTATTATCCAGTTTATCTGAACTGAACTTGTCCCCGATCTAATTATATTACCCATTCGATCTAAAATAATCACCAAATCGATTTTAAATCGTCCTCGGCGATTGTAATCCTCTCGGTTGTCTCCGGCAATATCGAAGTCCCAAGATTCAGTCTTGTCCATTATTCATAAAATCGGATCTAGGTCGTCCCCGGTAATTGTAATCCTCTCGATTTCTTGTTCATGCTTATTTATCCTCCGATTTAGTCCTTTGATTTTCTAAAGATCATTGTTTATCTCTTTCGATTCTCGTTGTCTCCATTTTTTGTTTTTCTTTCTTTTGATATTATTATCGAAAGATGTGTTTATGTCCATGTCTATGACGAAATCTTTTTAAAATTATTTTTACTTTACTAGTTTTGGGGGAAAAAAATTGTCTCCGAGTGTAATAAAATTTGTCCCCGAATGGAACAAAAATTGTCTCCGAGTGCAATTAATGCAGCTGTCCCTTTTTCTAACACAACAGTCCGTCGCCATCAAAGGCAAGTTCGTCCACAAATTATCACATGGCAAAAAAATGTGGTAGAAACATAAAACCTTTTCTAATTGTGCTAGATTTCGAAAGGAATCGTCAGAAAGTGGTACATATCGCAAGATTCCCTTTACTTTATTACCTTTATAATATTAATAAGTATCGGTCAAAATAATTTTTAAACAAAAATTGTAGAAATAATTCATACAATTTTTTACTCTCCTTACATTCACTCAATATATCTAGAAGTATTTGTATTAAATGACACATACAACACTTATACCTTAAAACAACATTTGAATTAGCTAACTGAATTCAACGACAACTCAACTCTGTGAAGACCTTTCACATTGACATTGTACTATTTCAATCAATTGATCTCTTGTGAAAATAGAAACCAGGCCCGGCCCATGGCTAAAGCACATGAAACCGGTGGTTTAGGCATCACAGATGTATGGAAAAATGGGTCAAAAAACCCTCACCTTTCCTAAAAATATGTAAAAAACACTCAACTTTTTTTTGTGGGTTTTTAAACCCTCACATTTTCATAAGTGGTAAAATAAACCCTGGTATTAATCAATTTAAATTATTCTTTAAAAAAATCGTTATATTAAAAGAGTAAGAAACAAAAACAATATAATTAATTTATTTGTTTTTCAAATTCGAGTTTACAATTTTCTTTCTAAGATTATAGTTTGTGCGCTATAAAAATTCATTCATAATTTAGGTGAGATTAGGCAAATCATTTTTTGTTACCATTAGAAATTATGTTTTATAAACTACAAAAATTTATAGGATAACACATTGATTTTTTTTTTCGAGCTCTCCGGTTTTTGATAAAAATATAGTTAAATAATTATTAAGTAAATGTAATTTATATTACCTTTTTAACATATCGTAATATATTTATATAAAAATATTAACTGTTAGTAAATCTTATTTACTTTTTCTTATGAAAATATTTAGATATGGACGTTCATGTACTTTTCATAGTATTATAAATTTGGGTTGGTTTCACATTAGTAAATTTGTATGATCGAACCGGATAAACATTTATTAACATAAACTCATATTTGGTTCGGTTTAAAAAATTATATATCATTTAACAAAATCTGTTTGGTTTTACGTTGATGAATTTTTGTAACACAACTGAGTACAACTTCATTAATTAAATTTTTTACATCATGACTTAAAAAAATTCAATTTAGAAAAAAATTGAAAACTTGAATAAGAAGAAAAATCCTAAATCAAATTGTTTATATTTATATATGTTTGAATTTAAATTGAATATATTAATATTAGGGTTTATTTTACCACTTATGAAAAAGTGATGGTTTAAAAACTCACAAAAAAAGTTGAGGTTTTTTTACATGTTTTTAAGAAATGTGAGGGTTTTTTTACCCATTTTTCCCAGATGTATATTTAAAGTTAAAGGTATTATTTTGTACAAGTAGCTTGTGGTATAGTGGTATATTCTATGTTGGATAAAGTTCGAAATAGTTTGGGCCGGTCCTCTGACAAGAGCCTTATGTAAAGGAATAGTGATTGTCTCACTACCAAGCCAAGCTATTATAGAGCTCATGGTTGGTCTCTTTGTTGGATTCTCTTGAACACACAACAAACCAATCTGGATCAAAGTATCAATTACAATCTCAAGTTTTCCTTCAAGCTATCTCTTCAGAGAAAACGCATGTTCTACTTTCTCGGCAGAGGTTTTAAAATATTAGAAAATGGAGCAAAACTGATATGTGAAGAAGCTTGAGCATCTCCAATGGTTAAGAACCAATTGGTTCTTAACCTTGAATCTTAGCCTTATTTTAAATTAAAATTTCACTGTTTTGGAGCTAAGAAAAGTTAGAGAAGATCTTAACAAATTACTACTCCAATGGTTAAGAATCAAGGGGTTCTTAAGAAAAAAAAAAATTCAAATTATTGCAAAACATTGTCTTACAATACAAGTAACAATGAGTAAAACACATTACAAAGGAGAATAGAATTGCTAGTATCATCATTGAAACAGAGGAGAAGATGTCACAGAGAGAACCTTGACTGCACCTAATCTAAAACAAACAATATTTACATATTCAATGATTCAATATCTTCACCTATTCTATAATGAAAGAAGTCTTACTTATTCAAGCATTGATCACACATAGAAATCAGAGGATATGCTAAATCAGACATGAGTTGGAATTGCTATAAGACAACAAAAGAGAGATAACAACTTTCAAACAAAATGTTTCATAGAATTTGAGTTTTATATCAACTCTGCAAACGATCACTCTCTTCCATCAAGAGTTTGTTTATGGCATTGAGCTTTCTGTTCACAACTTCTTTCCCTGCTTCTCTCGACATCTAAGAATCAACATAATCAAAGAAAGCTTTCAATAAACCAACATACAAGCCAAAAATTCAAAACTTAATGATCACTGATCACTGATCACTGGGTTTGTATAATACCCAAGATCACTGGTTTCAAAAGTCTACAAACCCTAGTTTAAGTGTACCACATAAGAATCCATCAATCGAGCAAAGGGAAAAAACCAGAATTTAACCAACCATTCAATATCTCAATCAAAAGAGAATCCAAACAAAGAAAAGCAAACCAAACCTTGATGAGAATGGTATCACCACGGAAGAGCTGAACCTTCTCCATGGTTGCAGGGTGAAGAGATACGACGGAGTTATCATCGTTGAAGCCTCATCGACGACAAGGCTGTTCGGAGACTTCTTCCTCTCGAGATCACAAGATCAACCAAACCCTAATCCCCAAAATCGAAAAAACGCAGACTTTAGAAAGATCTGAAACATCCCGATCGGAAAACCAAAATCAGAGATCTGAAGATTTACCGATATCTCCACCGGATCGAAGAGATTTCGAATCTCCTCATTTTTGTCGCCAAAGGTGTCGAGAGAGATCGAGAAATGTCAGGAAAAAAAAACAAGGGTGAATAATTTTTTTTTTGGTTTTGTTTTTTCTTTCACATAGCGACACGTGTGGGCTTCTTACCTTAAGAAAAACATCTTAGTTAAGATATATATCTTAGTTGGTTTGATTAATTATAATTGCTTTTAATGCTAAGATGTTTGCTAAGATTTGGCTAAGATATGCCGTTGGAATGTAAAGACTTCAAACATTAATTGTCTATTTGCCAAAAGGGAAAATATCTCAAGACCACAAAATACAATGAAAGGTTCCTTGATCATGATAATGAACAAGACAAACAAGATACAATGTATAGTTTGCCTTCAGTTTCAAAAAAAGAAACAACATTTTGATTAACTGATTTATCTTTCAACGACAACTCAACTCTGTGAAGACATCGTCGCTCATTGACATTGCACCACTTTCAGATTGGGATCGACTCCAAGTGAAAGCAGGAGCTTTAGGTAAAGGAATGATGATAGTCTCACTGCCAAGCCAAATTAATACAGAGCTCATGGTTGGTCTCTTTGTTGCATTCTCTTGAACACACAACAATCCAATCTGGATCAACTTGACAATCTCGTTTCTTGGATTTTCTATCAATAAAGGATCAATTATAATCTCAGGCTTTCCTTCAACCCATCTTTTCCATGTCTGCACCAAATAAATATATATGTTTTTACTTTCATGTAGACAGAGGTTTCAAGTTAAAGAAATGGAATAAAAGACTAATATGTGAAAATGCTTACAAAAGCTGCAAGTCCTTCTCCTTCGAAGCTATTGTTTCTTTCACCACTTATCATCTCGAGAAGCATAACACCGAAGCTATAAACATCAGATTTAGCTGAGATTTGCCCATGATTCCAGTACTCGGGAGCCATATATCCACTGCATATATGCAATGCAAACCATTAACATTAATTCATGGACTCTGTTTTAAAAAACAGAGCATTTAAATGTGTCTTCAAATTTGATTGATTTTTTTTTTACCGGGTTCCAGCTATTCTTTTTGTTTCAGCTCGGGTCTCATCGGAGTCGAACAACCTCGCTGTCCCGAAATCTGCAACTTTAGGATTCATCTCTGCATCTAAAAGGATGTTACTCGCCTTCAAGTCTCGGTGAATAATCTTTAGCTGAGAATCTTCATGGAGATAGAGAAGACCTCTAGCAATGCCTTCTATAATTCTGAACCTCACCTCCCATGTAAGAAGAGAACGCTTCTCTTCATCTGCAGAGTTCAAATAAACATATTCATGCTATGCTAAAACTTTCCAAAATATCCAAAATGGCAGCTGTGTTTCGAAAGCTCACCGAAGATAAAGTGATCAAGACTTGAGTTGGGGACAAACTCGTAGACAAGAATCTCTTCATCTCCTTCATTACAGAACCCAAGAAGCTTAACTAGATTCCTATGTTGGAGTCTTGTCAAGAGTGAAACCTCATTCTTAAACTCCATATCTCCTTGTCCTGATCCTTTTGTTAGTCTCTTGACCGCTACCTCTTGCCCGTTTGAAAATGTCCCCTGAAACCCATTTTCAAGATTTAATTACCCATAAAAGACCAAGGTTGATCAAGAACTCATTATTAGGGAAAAAGGTTATTATATATTACCTTATAGACCGTACCAAATCCACCTTGGCCAAGTGTATTTTCAGAAGAGAAGTCGTCGGTTGCCATTAAGATCATACCAAGATCAAACCGTAACATAAATTGACCATCAGAATCAGAGTACTCTGCACTTCCAACTATAAAAAAAAAAAAAAACATAAGCCTTACTCTCTACATCATAAGGTTAAATTGAAGCAAGTTACACTTACCATTATTTAATTTCCCCCTCCGTGCATAGACTTTGATGAAGCCAATAAACACCAAAAGATTAATGAAAGTAAGAACCACAATTATTGCGATAATTCCGCCATACCCAATGCTTTTTCCTGCAAATTATAAACCCTTTTTTCTGAGAATTAACCTCTTAATCATCATACTAGCAAATTGTGTCTCACCCTGGAGGGATTAGTCGGGCGGTAAAAGCCCGAATCACCCCTGGTAAAAAAAAAAAAAAAGTGGCAATGCTTTAACTCATTTGTTTTACCTTTTTTCTCTGTTATGCAGCTCTGCTTTTCCTGAGACCGAGGTCGAGGAGGAGGCGCAGGAACTCTGGTTACATTATCAAAAGCATTATGGAAAGAATATAGATCCCATCTGAAATAACAGCTTGGAAGACTAGCCATGCCTCCTTTTCTTCCCATATAATCTTTTCTAAAATACATCACCGAATCTCCCAAACATTGCTTGCAATCTCGGGAAGTTATGTCGGGTGTGCATTGCATCAGCATGTAAACATCTGGAAACTCCGTGAACCCGGCTTTTTCGGCGCTGTAGTACTTAAGTGCCGAGGAAGTTTCAGCTTTCGTAGCAGCCTTGAGGGTCCGATTAACCATTTCTTCCCACTGTTGTTCGAAAAGGGTCAAGTTTTTAGATGACTCGATAGTATCTGGACTTGGCCATACAACAGGAGGTTTAAGCTGGAGGTTCCCAAAAGTGGACTGGTTTGAGGAACGTACAAGACAAGTTACATCGTCATTGCCTCCCCATATGAACGAATCCATGCGGCTTCGACAGTCTGTTTGTGTGTTCTGAGTCAATGATTGGACACAATTGTAACAAGCGTCTTTGTCGTAGCCTCTTGCGCAGATGACAAGAGCATATACTCTGTCGGGAGATTGGCCGAGTGAAGCGTTGTAGAATCCGCCGTTAGTGACGACTTTATCAGCAAGAGTAGGGAACAGTTTCTGGCGATTCTGAGCGTAGCTGCTGTTAACTTTGAAGGAGCTTCCGAAACACTTGACGGCGTTAACAACATCGAGTGTTTGAAGGACAAGTAGAAGAGAAAAACAGAGGATTTTCCCCATTTTTGTTTTTGATAACATCTTCTTTGTTTCTTTGATGTACTACTACTACTTCGTTATTGCTAAGTATAATAATCGATTTTTGAGCTTTGTTATATTTTTGTATAGCCTGCCAGCCTTGACATTTCAAAGATTCCAAACAGACAACAAAATAGGGATTATTACACAAAATGCTCTTTTTGCCATACCATTTTTGGTTTTCGCCTTTTTAAAAAACATTTTTTCAATTTTGCTTTCTTTGCTACTTTTAAAAACGAAATATTTAGAATTTTATAAAATACATACTTCATAACAAAACTTATACTTTACAAAAAATTGGAATTTTATAAACCCAAGCAGAATGTGTTAAATCTTATTTTAAGATATAAAAAGGATAAAAACGAAAGTAACATATACTATCCTGTTTTACAAAAGAAAATTTCCAGGAAGATGTACAGACTCATTGACCATAAACTTCTTAGTCATAACAAAAGATTTGACAATAACATTATAAAATGTGAAAAAGATAGTGATGGTAAAACACAAATAAATGAAATGTCTAGTATTAGCTGTGAGACGTTAACCCATTAAGAACTTTTGGCCCCCACAAAACCTTGAGAAAACGCGTATTGGTTGAATTTTCAAAGATGCAAAGAAACCAACTTCACTAACATCATTCCTTGTAGGAAGCAATAACACAAAGCATCATTCTAAAGAGGATAAATAAATAAAACGAGGATAGCCAATGAGATCTATTTTCCGTGTAGCTCAACAAGACTGAAATGTGTCCTATAATTGCAGGACACTCCTTTGAGCGATTGAGAGCCCTGATGATGTCCTACAAAGTGATCTAATTCATAGCAACTCCAATAATTTTTGTTGTTTAATTTTTTAGATACATCATATATAATCATAAATAGTTGATTTTATGTATACAACTTCTCTTTTTGCATCACTCTCAAGAGCACGGCAAACTGTTTTATCTGCAATGTCCTGGAACCTCTCATAAACTTTATATCAATAATCTGCAATAGTCAACTTCTATTATAGTCAACTTCCATATCTGATTAGAAGCATTTAAACTATTGACTACTGGAGTCGTAAATTACTACAAATAAATCTAGTTTCAAATATTAATTAGAATTCAATACATTAAACGCAAATAAGTCTCAAAAATCTAGTGGGCGTTAAATTACAAATAAAAATACACAATTTTTATTATCAATTAGTTAAATAATTTTGTCTTCTATTTTTATACTCCCTATGTTTCTTATAATCTAAGATAGGTCTTTTAGGTTTTCTATGCAAAATTTATTAGTTATTATTGGTGAATGTTAAATTTCAAAAAAAAAAAATGAATACTATTGGTTTAGAATTATATAAAATTATAAATCACAAAAAATAATACACTTATAATTAATTTTTAATATGTGTGAAAACTCTAAAAAATACATTACTTAGGAACTGAGGGGGTATATTTTAGAAAACTTTGACTAAGACATGCAGCAAAAAGTCGTCGATGTATCACCATTCACCACCCACATTTAAATCCAGGTAAAGTATGTTATTAAAAAAAAATTAAATTTGTTATTCGAAGAAACATCAAATGTCTGGAAATAGTGGCAGAGTGCATGCACAAACTATGTCATAAAGGAAACCTGATTGAAGAAGACCAAAGTAGATTTTAGAACCTCACAAGGGTTTGGTCATCTTCCCACCTTCTCACATATGTCGCATGTATGGGCATTAAAATTAAATAGCCGTATAGAAAGGATAAACATTTAGCGATTTAATCACTTCGTATGAACTATGAACTAAGGTTTTATTCTCTAGGAATAATGAAAATGGTTAGCGTTACGGGTGTGTAGATTGTACCCTTTCAATACGGTTGTGTTAGTCATTCTTTTTGTCTCCAGGTATTGGTAACCCCACCACCACATGCATTTTTTCTCCAGGTAACCCCACCACATGCTTTCAATACAGTTGTGTTGTTTTTGTTTTATACTTTCATACACAAATTAAGAAATTATTTAATTTTAAACTAAAACAGTAAAATATAAAGTCTCAAAATCAATAAAAAAAAACTTATTAGTTTTACATTAAAATTGAAAATATCTTCTAATATCAAATACTCCCTCCGTTTCGTTTTAGTTGTCGTTTAAAGTTTTCTCACACAGATTAAGAAAAACATTAAATTTTCTGTTTTACCCTTTATTAATATGTTCTATAAAAAAATTCATTGGCCGAAACATTAAAACAGTAGGGATAAAACTGGAATTTTCACAAAACATTTGCATTGAAAACCTAAAACGACAACTATTATGAAACAAAATTTTAACTCTAAAACGACAAGTAAAACGAAACGGAGGGAGTACATATTTTCTTTAAAACATCATATACAGTTTATAGAAAACGGAAGGATTATTATCATTTTGTTTATCTTTTTCATTTGTTTCAAGGTAACCACCACCACATGTTTTCTTTCGATACGTGGGGTTTGGTTATCTTTTTCATTTAATATAAGCATTTTTTTTTGGTCACGGCAAGACCAAAAGAATCTTCTTCAAGACTATCACTTTTTTTTTTTAAAGAAAAATTATATAATATATCAGTTTTTGGGATTTTATTAATATAAATATGTCAAATTGTGAGAAACTCTTAATAATATTCTTCAAAAATTTAGCATTTTGTAAGAAAAGAAAAATTGACAGTTTTGTCATTCTAAAAATTCTCATAAAAAATATTGATATAATGGGATAAAAAGATCAATTTAATGGACACTCAGTATCGTCAATACAATTTTATGTACGGAAAAATGACGTATTTCAACTTTAATAATTCATCAAGGATTTTTTCTACTTAAACAATGGTCCAATGTTTTTTTCTCCTTCAACGTCTTAAAAGTATTAGAAACATAATCCAACTTTCCAATTTGTACGTAAATCAAAATTGTCGATAACGGAGATTAGTCAACTGTAAAGTAGATAACTCAGCTGACACGTGTGTGACAATGTGGCATTTCATACAAGCCTCCAACATAATTTAAGCAATCTCAATCGGACCAATTTCACCTTCATCCTCAAAACTCATGAGCTTCCTTAAAACAACATTCCTTGAGAAACTAGAAAATTCAACAAGGTCATATTTCTTCAACGGATCAAGAAGCCTAATTCCGCTGTAAAGGTTGTTACCTTTAATGTTCAAAATCTCTAAATTTTCCAATCGTCATATCTCAATTGAAATTTTACCTTTCAGTTTCAGATCATTAAAAGTAAGAGACAAAACCTTAATTCCAGACAAATCTCCCACAGCGGGAAAGATCTCACCACCAAACTTCTACTTGTACAAGAAGATAAATCTGAGAAATGAAGACTACTACTACCTTCACGCTCATTACAGCCTTGAGTATTAACAAAACGACTCTCAAATCATAGCTGCAAGAGAGTAAGAGACACCTTATCAAGAACAACAGTTTAACATATATAATTGTTTGTTTAATTTTTTATTATTAGAAATAATGTGGCTTAGTTGGTATTGTGAATGCAGTATGTCTAAAAGGTCATGGGTTTGAATCTAGGTTTTATAATTTTTCTGTTAAAATAAACTTCAAAAATTAAAACATCGTCGTTTTGCTTGTATGCAACGTCACCAGCCATGGACCACCAATAATAAGAACCTTTGGGCAAAAAAAAAAAATGGGCTTCTCACTAAAACTTATGTTTTTTGTGGCTTTTTCATCAAATATATGTTCTAATTTTTAATATTTTGGGTTCTGATTCATACTAAAAAAAACAATTCCTAACGACTTGGGTCGGGTATGATTGTTATATACGTGTCAGCTGAATAAAATTATCATTTGTTACAATTGACTAACATTTGTTATAGACAATTATGATTTACGCACAATTTAAAGAGTTAGAGTATGTTTTTTGAATTTTTAAGAAATTTGGGAAGGAAAAAGCATTAGACCGTTGTTAAGGTAGAAAAAAGCATAGGACAAATTATTGGAATTGCACAATTTTCCTTTCAAAGTCACAATTTCACAGATTTAGTAAAAAAGTAAACTCGCCAATTTTGCCGTTTTGGTGAGAAAACCGTATTCTGCAATATTTTCCATCAAAATTACTATTTCTTGGATTTGGTAAAAAAATTATAATTCTAAGATTGCAATTTTGGCGAGAAATTTATAAAATTGTGATTTCACGGTTTTGGTAAAAAACGTAATTTTTTTTTTCTTTTTTTTTTTGGTGGAAGAACGTAATTCTATAACTTCCTGGTTATACCAGAAAAATGCAGTTCCATAGTTTGGTGGTTTTGATGGGAAATGATAATTTTTTTATTTCATTTTTTTGGTGAAAGAATATTATATACTAGATTTAATCCGCGGTACACCGCGGGATGATTTATTTTTTTAAGTTAGTATATATAAAATTTTATAAATTGTATCTCCTTATAAAATATTTATGTTTTATAGTTTATAATTATTATCAAGTAACGGTATATCACGAGTTCACGGAACAATAATAAACTGAGAATTTAACTCGTATTAAAGCGGCATGTTAATGATATTTTAAAATTTTACAAATAAATATTTATTCAAACCCGTTCGCCATATAAATCCGTTCCGAAATATAAACCGTCTCATAATTTCTTAACCCGTCCCGTGATTTGTTTTCTAAAAGTAGTGATTTTAAAATTTAATGATTTTTAATTATATATAAAGTTTATAAATTTTATCATTCTCTAAGAC